TAAGATTATAATGTGGTATTGTAGGAATTGTTGCTGTGAGTTTTTTCCAAGTATAAAAAGCAGTAAGATTCAAAAAGTGGTTGAATGTGTATGTGTGACTGCCAGGAATATTGATTGAGTAAGGACTTCTTGGAAAGGCTATTGCATGAAATACTCTGGACTTAAACGTAAGCGATCAGAAGCCAAGATGTGACCTAACGTAGAGGACAGACTTGAATGTTGCACGTTGTTGCGTGGCTGAGATTGGTCATCAAAACCAGACAAAATAGTTTTTATACTGGAAATTTTAACGTAGAAGTCATGGAGTTGTCTGTAGTTTAACCAGTTTGGATAAAATGACCTAATACTGGTTTCCTACCCCAGTCAAAAGTAGTAATTTTTCTAGATTAAAATCAATTTTTACAGTTGGATAAGCTCTCCAAATGTCTTTTTACTTTCTTCCTAGTGCTTCTTGAAGTGAAGAAGGGTGAGGGTGTTTTTCTTTATTTTTATTTTTTCCCCTAAATTAGAACTTGGTGCAGCTTTGCAGATAAGAAGACACAAATATATTTATGACTGCTGACCTCTCTATCTGGAGTGATGTGTGGTAACATTTTGACTGTTGAGAAGTAATATGAATCCTGCATGTCACCTGGGAAGTGAAAAGATATAACTTCAGAATAATAAAATACTCGTGTGTTTGCAGTAACTCTAAGTGTTAAAGAGCAAACGAACGAGGCAGCAATAAGAACATATGTGTATACATTAGGGACAAGCTTTCAGGGAATCCTGTCTTGTTTTTGCCAAGGCAAGTGTTTACAAAAGTGTTTACTTGTTTGGCAAGTGTTTTGCCAAAGCAAGCAATTACAAGACTAAAAATGATTAAGTGATGCTCTTCCTGTGAAGAGGAGCAAGTTGCCAGAGGTTGTCCCTAGTTTCAGTAAGCTCTGACAGAGGCTTAAGATGCCCTGAGGAGAAGCTCTGCAGATGGGATTTATTCCTCCTGGAATCCCCTGAGGAGTGGTGGTAGGTGTTTAGCGGGCTTATATTTAGGATGCTTAAGCAGTTGCATCAAGTAACTTTTGTATGTATATATGTGTATATATAGAGAGAGAGAGAGAGAGGGAGCAACATCTGGTCTTTACAAAGTCTGCTACATCACTAATTGCTGCTGCTTCTGAGAGAAGAGTTCGTTGGCTGAACGTTAAGTCAGGTCTGCTAGGTAAATTGCAGGGACTTTTCATAAATATGGCAATGTACCTGCTCTAACAGATAAAATCATTTAACACTTTTTCGAAGCCAATTGACAGAAGCCTGAAAGCTAGAAAGTGTGCTCAGAAAACACCAAGAGGGTTCAGAATTGAAGTATACTTGGCTAATATGATGTTATATAACATCATAATGAAAACATCGCTATTAAGATCTTGCTCTGTATTCTTGCAGTACATTTCTTAAGTATATTCCTGTCTACTTCTCACAAGCTCTGTCTGCATGCTGAAGTTTTAATATATCTTTTAGGCACTCTTCATGTTTTCAACTTTTTTTGGAAACAAAGCGCCGTTATGGGTCAGTAATGTCAATCTTTACTTAATAAGGTAATAGTTGGGTGGGTGAACGCAGAGGTAGGATTCTTTTCTTGTCTTTTTGGCTGATTTTGTCCGGTAAAATACAGAAAGTTCATTGGAACAGTGCGAGTAGAACACTTTCTGCAACTGAAAGACATCCCTGTTGAAATTTGTATGTACAGACTTGTTCGCTGGCTCTGTTAACGTCTGTATCCTAGTTCTAGCTACTAGCTCTCTCCGCAGAAAACTGCATTGTGTAATGTAGAAATTCTCACTTTCAGAATTTCCAACGGAGTTTGCAAATGTGTACTTCAGGAGCATGTTATTGAAAGAGATATAATTTTCTGACAGTCAGCAGAATGGTAGCAATAGTGTGGTGAGAGCTGTCCTTTCTCTGCTTGTGTCTCCCCTAAATGCAACTGCTCTGCTGACGCCAAGATATTGCCATGTTAATGTGATTAACCACAGATTAGGAAAGTGTATCATGTGCAGGGGTCTCTGAAAGGGGTATAGTTCTCCCTTACTATGCGGGTCGTGTCATATTTTACTTCCTCTAATAGATGTGTAGATGTAAATCTTTAGGAGTATGAGTTATCGACAGAAGTGTGACCAAGGAACGCTTTCTGGAACAAAAACAATCTGAATTTTTTGTTTAACTGCAAATGCAAGGTAATACAAATATTTGAAGACAGTAACGTTGACTGGATAGTGCAAACAGGAAAGTGTGTGGAAGTTCTGTCACATTGTAGTGGGGAAAATATATTTTGATACTCTGTCGCTTCTTACTGCGATCTGTGCTTGCTTTCAGCACTTTAGAAATGTTTATATAAACATTTAAGAAGTCTGAAACAGGACTCCTCTTTTTTTTTTTAATTAAGCCTAAAATTTTGTAGTTAACAGTGAGGTTTTAAAAAAAAGTGTCGGGAAGCAGCAGCAAGGGCAGGCTGCTCCTCAAGGGAAGGTGAGTTGGAAGCTGATGGTGACAACAAGGCAGATGGAGGCAGTACCCTCACTGGCAAGGGCCCAGACCCATAGTACCTAGGTGAGGCAAGCAGGATGGGTCTGGTAACCAGGTTCAGCCAACAGTCTGGGTCTCCAGGCAAGTCCATAGTGCTGGTCTGAGGTGAAGTGAAGAAGTCAAGTCAGTGGGTCCTGCTCTGGATCAGTGACATATGTGGCTGAACGTGGGCATGGCTGCAGCATTGCTTGAACAAGAACCAATGTCAGAGCTTAAACACAGCTCCTGAATGAAGGTGGGGAGGCCCCAGACAAGGCTTCTCACAGCTTTCTTGCACAGCTCCTCACAACAGTCTCTATTGGTAAGATCTGCCTTCAGGAATCCCAGGCCCCTGAGACCTGTGGGAAAGCATAGAGCAGTGAACTCTTACCTCACTAGAGGAAGATCAAGTTAGGGAATATTTAAAAAAAAAAAAAAAAAAAAAGAGACTCCAACACTACAGTGGACATGCACAAGTCCGTGAGGCCTCATGGGATGCACTCATGAGTGCGAGGGAGCTGGCCTACATCACTGTGAGGCCAGTTTTGACAGTCTTTGAAAGGTTATGGTGACTGGGAGAGGTTCCTGAAGACAGGAGTGACGTTTGCTCTCTTTCGGTCCTCAAGAAAGGTAAGAAGAAGGACCTGGGGAACTGCAGGTCAGTCAACCTTGCTTGATCCCTGGGAAACTGATTGAGTAAATAAATCCTAGAAGCCGTTTTCAAACATATTAAGGACAGGAAGGTGACTAGGAGAAGTCAGTATGGATTTACAAAGGGGAAACGACTCCTGATAGCCTTCTACAATGAAATAACTAGCTCTTTGGATAAGAGGAGAGCAGTGGATGTGGTTTTTCTTGACTCTATAACATCCTTGTGGACAAACTGATGAAGCATGGACTAGATAACTAGATAGGGTGGTCGACTGAGAGCTGCCTGAACTGCTGGGCTCAAAGGCTTGTGAGACAGCAGCACAAAGTCTAGCCGGAGGCCAGCCACTCGTGGTGTCCCCCAGGGGTCAACATGGGCCAGTATTGTTTAACGCCTTTATTAATGACCTGGATGATGGGACAGAGTGCACCTTCAGCAAGTTTGTGGGTGATACAAAACCAAGAGGAGTAGCTGATGTGCGGTAGTTGTGTTGCCATTCAGAGGGACCTCGACAGTCTGGAGAAATGGGCCAGCAGGAACCTCGTGAAGCTCAACAAGGGAAATGAGGAGTCCTGCACCAGGAGAGGAGTAACCCCATGCACCAGTAAGGCCGGGGGTGACTAGCTGGAGAAGGACCTAGGGGTCCTGGTGGACACCAAGCTGACCATGAGCCAACAGTGTACCCTTGTGCAAAGAAGGCCAACAGCCTCTTGGGCTGCGTGAGGAAGAGTGCTGCCAGCAGGTTGAGGGAGGCGATTCTTCCTCTCTACTCCGCACTGGTGAGGCCGTGTCTGGAGTGCTGGGTCCAGGTCTGGGCTCTCCAGTACAATAGAGGCATGGACATACTGGAGTGGGTCCAGTGAAGGGCTACTAAGATGATTAAGGGACTGGAGCAATCTGTCGTACAAGAAAAGGCTGCGAGAGTTGGGACTGTTCAGCCTGGAGAAGAGAAGACTTGGGGGGATCTCGCCAATGCGTACAAATACGTATTGGGAAGGAGTAAAGAAGATGGAGCCAGACTCTTCTCAGTGGTGTGCGGTGAAAGGACAAGAGGCAGCATATTTTTCACTAAGATACCTGAAATTCCATTTAAACATAAGAAAACTTTTTTTACTGAGAGTGGTCAAACACAGGAGCAAATCACCCAAAGAGGTGGTGGAGTCTCCCTCCTTGGAGATGATCAAAATGTGACTGGACATAGCCCTGACCAACCTGCTTTAGCTGACCCTGCTTTGAACAGGGCTTTGGACTAGATGATATCCAGAGGCCCCCTCCAATCTCGAAGTTTCTGATTCTGTGATCCACGGTTGCGCAGCTGCACTGTATCAAAGTTGGTATCAAAGTTGGCCTTGAGCACAGGCAGCTGAACTTTGCCAAGGACTCTTTTTGGCAGTGTTTCGTGTTTTGTTTTTGTTTTTTTCTTTCCTACTTAGAGTCTGTTCTTTCATGGATTACTGGTTTACTTTCTATGGGGCAGGAAAGGAATTAATCTCAAAGTTTCTGGGCTTGAACATACCTACTGAACAGATGTTAACATTTGAGCTTGAAACACTTTCACTCCAGAGTTGTAAATTAGATATCCCAATTGTATATGTTACGGAAGCATAACATAGTTTAAAAATCCTTAGTTTTTTCGGCTCATACATTGTTCTAGTTTCATTTGTTGTTTTATCAGGAGAGTTGGCCAATGAACACATCCATAGAGAAAGGACAGGTAGAACTTGCCAGACAGCTGTCTTCATTCTAATTACTCAAACAAAAGCCTTATAGACCATGCCATGCTAATTCATGTTCTGGACTTTTCATTTAGGTTGAATTTGGTTGAAGCCTTTGTGGTAGATCCAGAACTACGTCAGTGCCTTCAGGAAGATCTTTTACGTCGCTTCCCAGATCTCAACCGGCTAGCAAAGAAATTTCAGAGGCAAGCGGCAACCTTACAGGACTGTTACCGAATGTATCAGGCTATTAATCAACTGCCTAACGTTGTACAAGCGCTAGAAAAACATGAAGGTAATGCCAACCCCTGTCTATTCTTCAGTGTTTTATAATAGTGATAATGCCAAGAAACAGTGTGTAGATTTCCAAAGATTGCTTTTGTTCTGTGTATTTTTGTGGCAGGGATAAGGCATAAAGATATTTGAATTTGAAATGTGATGAAATTGTGAAAAATCAGTCAATGCTTAAATGTGAACGTAGCAAGAACTTTACCTAAAGAAGTGTTCCAATTAGTGTGTAGCTAAAACACTTGAGCTGTCAGGTGATGGTGCGGTACTCTTTGAGGTTGGCTTGTTTCTAAGAAATCTTGACCGGTTATGTGTGTGTATTATGAAAACCCTCCATACAGCATTGTTGCATTCCTTTTGAAGATAGTTGTTTGCACGTGCACTTTGAGTTGTAGTTAAAACTATTTTTTCCATCTGAATTGTAGTGGTATTTATGTATTTCCTTTGGAAGTGGTAAAATTTTTTCCGTATTTGAGATGAGTAACACAAGAGGCTTTCTTCTGACCTTTATTGGAAGAAAGCTCAATGTTATGACAAGCAAGTCTAGAAAATAAAAACACTGCTATTTCTTTTCCTTTTCCATGTGTTATCAAGAAGCAGCATAATAAGATATGGTGTCGGTGTGATAGGGAGGTGATTCAATGTAGCAATAGCAGTCGTTTTCAAGCCTGCCCTAGGCTGGCAGGAAGCGTGTTTTTGTAGAAGCCCATTAATTTGTTTTAAAATCTCTTTCAATAAAGCAAGCACCAAAACCTTAAAGAAGAATTTTTGAAATGGTGCAGGTACAAAAATCTCTGTTAGTGTGTTTGAGCAGACAGTGATATTACCCAAGATACCTTATACTCTTCAGTACTATAGTTTTATGGCTTGAAGTAATGAAGTTTATCTTCTGAAACATTAATCTAAAAAGAAATGAATTCTGGGATAGTGGCTGTGTTATTTTCAAAAGCAGTTAAAATCTGAAACTGGTAGGAAACTGGCAGAAATAATGTTTTTTTTTTTTTTTTACAAGAGCTGTGCCACAGTTTAGCAGCCTCAGCCATGTCACTGACATTTCCAAGCAGGCTTTGCTTGTTTTTCATCTGGCCTGGAGACCTGGAATGTCTGTCTTCCTCTGAGATATTAGTTCAATATACCGTCTTGATGTCTCCTCTTCTTTTTCTGTCACTTGTCATTTGAATCAACAGAGTTTCTCTGTCATTATACTTGGCTATGAAAACAATCCGTTTTTAGATGTCCTGCGGACCAAGCTGTGAGGCAAACTGCTAAGCTTGCTTTCTGCGTAAATTAACGGATTGCAAAAGATTCTTGCTGTTTTATACATAAATCACTTAGCCTTGGTAGGGCATTTATCAGCAGTGTATCTAAAATAATAATTTGAAATAGGTGAAGTGTGTTATTTTTATTTTTCTTTGTACTTGTATGCCTTGGTTTAAAATACAAGAATGGCCGGGTAGTTTCAAATGTGGCTGATTCAGACTGCGTGTGATGATTTTCCTGTTTGAGACTAAACAAATCTTTTAACTCATCAGGAGATTAAAAGTCAGACATTTCCTGGCAACTCTAAGCATCTGTGAGTTTCAGAACTTTATTTTCTGATTAATGTGTCTTGGGAGGTGAGTCAACTGCAACATAAAGCAAATAGCAGTGATTGCCGTTTCCTCAATGTAAAGCATTGCTTTCTTGAGATAATTGTTTTTATGGATGGTGGAAGTTGAGGAGGGGGTAATGAATGAAGAAGACGTTTAGAAAAAAAACAGGAAAGGAGACTAAATCATCAAATTGTTTCACTGTTGCTGGCAGAGGGGAGCATTTGTTCATTGCTGAAATTGATGGGGCATAGAATCTAGCTCCTAAGAGAAGTTTGTCTGTAAGGAGCTACTGAAGAATCTTCCTTCTCAACTCCGTCTGACGCTTTGTTTCAAGCCTGCATTCATGCAGGATACAAAAATTGTATGCTGTGTTCCAGTAGGATTTCTACCATACTGCATCCAATGACTTGAATACCTCCTTAATGCTTTTGGGAAAAAAAAAAAATTTTGCTGGCATATTCTAGTACTGTACTTTCTATGACTGCGTTGCACTGGTGTGTCGGTCATGGGGTGATCATATTTCGCTGTTGTCCATCCTTCAGCTAATTATTCCCCTACTTACAGTGGAGTTCTTTTGGTTATGAATGCCTCACCTCACTGTTAAAATTGGACTAATAGAAATGAAATAAAATTTCAAGGTCATTTAGTTCTGTTTGGACTTACTTTGCTTGTTTGCTCTACTGATACCTTCCACAATGTATATATTAGTGAATTTCATAAGCAACCTTCTTTCATTCGTGTGTCAATATCGTTAATTCACACTTCTTAAAAAGTTTAATGATTGTGTGAGCGCTAGAGGGACTGTACTGCAAATATCCTTTCAGCACATAAATCTTCTGCAAGTCAACCGTGTCCTGTTTACCTGCCTTCTAATCATTGTATCAACTGTGCGTCTTCCATCTGCCATCTTAACATCCCATGTGACACCATGTTGAATGCTTTAGGAGAGTCTCGCTCTAGATCTACAGGATTTGCTTTGTCTTAGGTAGCCACTATTTGGGTATGATCTACCTCTGGTAAACCTGTATTATACTTAATCCAGTTTCCATTTTGCTGCGTGTTCTGTTCTCACCATTTTTTGTACGACCTTGTGTACCATCAAACTGTCACGTTTAAGTGAACCTCTGTGGTATAATGGTGTTGATTTTCATACCTTTATTCACTAGCCTGCTGACTGGATAAGTGTTTGAAGTTTAAAGTGTTAGTGTTTGGTGGGTGGTTTTTTTTTTTTTTTTGGTTTACAAAAGATTTTAAATGAAATTGATATCCAAGTCTTTAATGCATGTAATGGACACTTAGCTGTGCTTCAGTAAGGAAATTATGATTTAAATTAAAAACTCTGCCCAGAAGCAGATAGCATTTGTAATCACTAAACGCATCTCTCTGTGCTTTTGGAGGTAGATAGAGGTCTCTTCTGTGTGCAGCTCACATACTAACGATGTCAAGTAGGTGCAGAAATTGGCATGTTTTTTGTCTTTTTTCCTTTTTTAATAATGTCTCTTATATGACTTCATGAATGCAGGAGCAAGATAAATGGGAGTTTAATTCAGAATTTTTCAATAATGTTTCTTGCTCAGATTCTTTTAATGCAAAGTATGCTTTTGGGGAAAGCATGCCACTAGAACTTTCATTAAATCCTCAGTATTGCCGAATCAAATCGTTTAATTCCTTCAGGTCTTGGATACTGAAAATGGATTGAAAGTTTAAATTAATTTGGCCATGTTTGAGTTTGAATTGTGTCATAAATATATGTAAATAAACCCCTATTTTCTAATTTTTGAATTCGGCATCACCCTACAGTGTCTGAAGATGTGCTCTTCTAATTCAGAAAATGAAGTGGTGTCATGAAACTTCCCTACTTGCTCCTTTCAAGAAGGAAATTGTTATTTGTACTTTAAGTTCAAGAACAATCTTTTTTGATTCAAATGTACTTGGGATCGTTATATTGTGGGTGCCATGCACTCTTGTCAGCTGGTGCCCTAGTAACTGTTAGATCCACACTGAGGAATGAATGTGAGACTTTTCTGCTCTTGCAGCCTCTGCTTCCTTCTTTACTGCCTCCTTTTATTTTCTAAGTTGATTCAAATCTGTCGTATTGGGAGTGGTGTGTGGGGGTGGTGGTATGAGAGCGAGCAATTGAGAGAAAGATCTGGAATAATAGCCAAAAAAACCTTACTTTATTTCAGATCTGTCTTAGTTGTGAGCGTTTACAGTTGTTTAAACTCTAGCATCACAGTTCGTTCTTCTGTTTCCTGTAATGAAAACATGAGTCACCACGTAGGAGTGATAGAAGCAGCTGCAAATAGACTCAAGTTAATAACTAAAGTTCACATCTCAAATGGTCTGTTCCTGATGCTGTCTGGTTCTTGCATTACTGTGTTCTTCAGTTGGATTAAATATTTTTAAAGACTCAGTTTGTACAAGTTCAGTGGTCTCTCAGTGACGTAAAGCTTTTTTGTTTATTATTAGATGCTAATCAGTTAAGAGGTTTAACATCAAAAGCTGAGAAAAAAGGAAAAGGACACGAGGAAAAGGAAACAAATTTCATCTGAGTTGCAGAGCTGAGAGAGAGGGGATTCCCTTAGATAATCATGTCCTGACCGTGTGACTCTTACCAATTACTGAGGAACATTTTCTTACGAAAGATTAGGATCTTTTTCTGCCTAGTCTGGTAAGAAATTGGGAAGCTCTGGAATAGTTGGAGCTTAATTCTGCCTTTATCTGTTAACTTGCAAAGGTTTGTCTGTGAATATCGGAGGCAAGTCGCTGAATTCTGGACATAATCCAGTGGCTGCAGGCTCACAGCCTTAGATTTTCTTTGAGGCGTTTCATAAATATATAGTCAATAATGCTAATCTCTTTGTGATTAAATTACAGTTGGAAGTGACTGCAAAGATTTAAACACTTATTGATGGAGTTTTCACAGCTGGCTGTTGAATAAGTGCTTATTTGTAGCCTTCACGAAAATATTTTCTTTCACAAAATCGGCAATATATGTGTGCACGAAGTGAACTGTGTTTTACAGTCAGTGCTCAAAGATTGTTCTGTGGACTTCTGACTGTGTGCTATGCAGTTATGCTGAATACACAGGGTCTGTACTGACAAAATATAATTTGAAAAGGGACTAACTTTAATGACTTCCTGTTTAGTGCAAAGAACAGTGACTATAAAGATCTGGTTAGAGCAGATCTTTTTTAAGCAGGAGGGGGAAAAGACTGAAAAAAATCAATTCCCATTTATGTCCAAATGTGAACCTAACAAGTGTTCCCAATTTCTGGAAACTTAAATTTAAGACCAATTAAAAACCTCAAGGGTGGATGATGGAAATTTTAATGTTGTTTTTCCCCTTCATACCTTTTAAAATGGGCTGTTGTAGAATACAGTTTTAATGAAGCCATTTCAGCTTTACGTGGGGCAAGAAGAGGTAATCGTCAGACAGCAAGTTTGCTTTTTACCTGTTGGTTGCCTGTAGTTTTATTTGTATTAGGGAGTTAATACCAGCAGATATGATTGAAGAGGACAGAATACATAGCTTAATCAGAATATAAAATGGACAATACCATTAAAAAAAAAAAAAAAAAGTGTGCGTAAGTATGTCATGAAATAATCTTAATAGAGATTAGCCTTCTGTATGATTGTGCTGTGTATCTTGGATAGGGGAATTCTGGTTAACTATTGGGAAAGTTGTGTTTTTGTGAATGATAATTCTTCTTGTTTGTGTTTCCTTAACAGGAGATCACCAGATGTTGTTGTTGGCAGTGTTTATAACGCCGCTTAATGATATCCACTCTGACTTCTCAAAGTTTCTGGAGATGATAGAAACAACATTAGACATGGATAAGGTACAATATGGCGTGTAGGAGGGGGTTTATTTAGCAATTGAAATTTCTTATTGAACTTTACAGTCTGTTCCACGTTCACAAAGTTAATTGATCATCTACATTAAGTAGTTTTAGTTTAGTAATAGACTAAATGAGGACAGATATTGGTATAGCAGTTGACTGTCAAGTGGATGTTCACCCACTGACTTAATTATCTAGTCCACTGACAAAATGCTTTGGATACATGGATGCTATGGTCGTGATGTAAAAAAAAAAAAAAAAAAAAAAAAAAAAAAAAGAAAAAATCAATATTAAAAGAGGGAAATTGGTTTATCACTTTTTCCTGTTCTTTCTTTGTATGTTCAGTGATGTTACTGTGATGCGCCTCAAATCTAGGATATTTAAAAAATATACTCTAGCGATATTTCTCTGCTTCTACAAAGTTCACTAGATTTCATTCTATTTCATAGGATTTAGTCTTCATAACTAGCAGTTTGCATCTCTGGAAAATGATTGACCCGCATATAAAGGTTGACTTGACTTTCTTGCATGAAGAAATTTCCCACTAGAGAAAGCTATTTAACTTAACTTAGTTTTGCATCCAGACTTGCTTGTAAAATAGTGATGATAGGTCTAAGCTTGAAGGGGAAATCTGGCAGGTGTTTTTTTGTTGTTTGGCCAATTTTTCCTCTTGAAAACAAAGAAAGCTGGAAGTAACATCCCTTCCTTAAATCTGTACCAGAGAGGTGATGGGATGAGTATAGATAAATAATGATAAATTAGTTAACACTGAATACTTAATTCATGTTTTTGGCCGTGTCCTGTTGCTTAACTGGGTGAAGCAATGCCAAAGTTTCTGGGGTATTTTATACGTCTTTTTTCCCACTCTATTTTTTTTTTTTAGAGAATCTGTTCAACAAATTTTGAAATGTACATGGTTTTATAAAACCATGTACACTATTTCTTCCAGTTGTTTATAATAACTTTTATTTAATGTTCCTTTCTTAATGCGGTGTTTCATTCTTTTAAAAAAAACTGAGGAGCTTCTAGGGTTGTCATAAGTGTCACGCTCAACTGACTGTAGAAATATGAGGTCTACCTACCCATTTGCCGAGTGTGGTAGTAAGAGCAAATTGTTGAACAAAGACACTTATCAAAACTGCACAGACTTAACAAATTTTTCACATGCGTGTCTTGCTCCAAAGACAAAAGCGCAGCTTTTGGTCTCTTTGTACTCTGTATACTTTCACCAGTTGCGTTTTCCTGTTTGTTTAAGGAAAGACTGCTTGAATGACATGTTGCTGTAATTTATGATATATGCTAATGAAGAAATTTATAGCTTTATACTAGTTACAGACCATCTGTTGATGCAGTTTTTATGCCCTAGGACTCTATTTTCTTTAAAATTAACGGCTGTTCTAAGCCTTTACCCTTCATAGTCCATCTCTTCAGATTTCTTTTCAACTTCTACTTTAAAATGCTTTGTTGTCCTTCTAAACAGGATATTGAGTTAATTGTTTTTAATTAAGTCCCGTAGAATCTGGTGTGCTGGATTTGGTATGTAGTGTTTTGTGGTTTTTTTTTTTTTTTTAAAGATACTGGAATAGATTAAAACGGCTATAGATAAACCAACACTGTTTTTTTTTTTTTTTGAAAAATAAACCTTCTTCTGTATGATCTTTAAAACCTGAACCTTTGACTTGCAATTCCTCTTAGATTCTTAGGGAATTCAAATAAAATACCTGGCTGTATTCTGAGTGGGATTGCCGGACAAGTTGTCATAGCAACTTAATTATGTCAATAATCCTTTCAGGATCACCATTCTAGCATAAAAAGAAACAACTTATTTCAAAAAGTGTGGGATGTGGTTATTGATTTACCTAGCAGTAACAAATGTTGATCAGCTGTCACTTCTGTTCCTGTATTTCATAGAATTATAAAATTTAGTTTGGAAGGGACCTTTGAAAGTCTTCTGCTCCAGCCTCCTGCTCAAAGCAGGGCTACCTTCAAAGTTTGTTAGGAATTCTTATAAGATTTGGAATTCAGGTACTAAGAGCATAACCCTTTACAGAAGGGTCAGCCTGTCTTATCACTTAGCACCTTTAGCATCGTCCCGGAGTATTCAAATGGTGTTTCCTGTGAGTAACCCTTTGGAAGTGAGACTCACTTGGGTCTTGATTCATGCAAGTAAAAACGCAGCTATCAGAGTGCTGTCTACGCTGAGATGTTAGTCTGTACTTCCCATGTTAAGTATTTTATACTTTTGAGCATTCATTTGAGAGCACTCGGATTGAGTGTTGTGCTGGGATCTGACGTACTGTGAACGTTTAGGAACGTAACCTTCTTTGTTCTGAGATCATGGGATTTTTTTCAGCTTATTCTGGGTTTCAAAACGCTTCTTGAAGCCATGTAACAGAACTACTTTTCAATCCGCTGTCAACCTCAGTTGTCTCACGAAGACAATTGTTACAGTGGTCGGAGTGCATGGCCGCTGCAGTCAGACTTTTCTAGTTTGTTTCAGAACTAGGATCTGCCTTACAAAACCAGAAATGGTCTTTTCTGCTGCATGTTCTGTCGTAAGTGTTCGTTCTTCTTGCTGTTCTTTTTGCAGGAGTACCCTTTATTAAGGGGATGGGAGGAGGAGACCTATGAACAGGAACGTTTCTGCAGGGAATAAATTTGTTAAACCCCTTTCTTAATGCTTCCAAATTTTAAGATGGCCCTCTAAAAATCTCATGATTCATTATTTTGTGAAGTCCATATCCCTGTTAGGCACCTGGAGAGCCATGCCACTGCGGTGCGTCTGCACACAGCAAAAACGTAACCGAAGTATCAGGCTGAGTGAAACACCTTGCAATGCTGGTATTTGCACAAAGGAAATGGGCGTCAAAGGTTCAGTTCCGCCTTATGTGTGCAACTTCTGTGGAAGGTCAAATTACCTGTCTGGGGAAGGTCATTCCCAGAAGAAGCTAGCAATTCTTTGAATATGCAGTGTATTATGCAGTTTCTTCGTATGGTAATTTATTTAGCCTCTATTCCCGATTCAGTGCATAAGTAATGCTGTGGCTTTCATCTCCGGATTGCACTCTCAGTCTTTGTTTCAAATTGCTGCAAAACCTCACAGTTTTCAATATAATGCTTTTAAAGTTGTATTGGTGCGTTCCAGTACTGAAGCTTTTATTGTAAATGAAAAGAAGATGCCTGCAATTGTAGTTCATTGAGTTACAGCACCTATTGCTCAGTGCTTTGCAGTGGTGATATTTGTGTTAAAAAAGAGTGAAGGAACTGTGAAACTCCCTTTCCTTCCCCACCTCACCTTTTCTTCTCTTGTTAGCGTACACTTGTGGGTGAAAAGTAAAACTATATGTAAACCAGTATGTTGTTCGGGTATGTTTAGCAAAGTGATTGCAACAGCTGCTGTAAGTACAGTTTTGCAGATAATTTCCAGCCAGAGGAAGCTTCATGAAAATATTGCTTTGGTTTGTTTTTTTAGGGGGGAAACGCTAGCAGTATGAAAGCCGGTATTGAGTTTCCATATCACAGACAACAATGCTAATATTTTATTGAATACAAAAGTATATATATTAAAAATCAAGTTTGTTTTCTGTTTAGTGATTACAAATGTACTCTTGCAAATTAAACTTAAGGCTCTTAACGGTGGGCTTGTAATGTCATTGGAAATGCACACCTAGCAGTCGAAGCATGAGGAAGAGAGAAGGAAAAAGATGAGGTACAAATTAGTTCATCACCTCTGAAAATGTTTGGCTTATAAGGAAATAGGTATGCTCTTCAACTCAAAAGAACTGGGTTGAAATTGGATAGGATTTTTGGTGTTATAATACAAGCTCCTTCCGTAACCTGTTGATTGTGTTTTGGGCAGGAAATATTGCTCTTGGATGCTTCCATTTTAGACTTCTTGTTTTGAAATGCTCCTTCGTCTTACAGTCTGTCCTGATGAGCTGCGTAAGTCTAGGGTGGCATACAGATTTTGTGGAAATATGTACTAATGTCACTTCCACCCACCCACTTTTTTCGTGCCTGTTTACGACTCCTGTTACTTATATGCAAATGAAAAAATGTGCAAGCAACTGCATCCATTTCAAAGTAAATGAGCCTGTTAAATTGGTATATTTTGTTTGTATGAAGTATATTCTCTGAGGAAAAAGTGTTTGAGCTTTGTTTTTGTTAGTGAATCAGACTCCAGTCAACCAACAGTTGTCACAAATATCAGTGCATTACTTTGTGTGTGTTTTTTTTTTTAAACAACAAAAAAACCCCAAAACAAAATATAAAACAGACTGAACTAAAGGGTTAAAATAAATTAATTTCAGTATGTATGATCAAGGAGACATTTTTTTTTTAATGTTTGTGATGTTTTTTTTTTTTTCTAGGTAGAGAATCATGAATTTCTTGTCAAGGCTTCTTTTGATCCTAACTTGACAGAATTAAGAGGAAAGATGAATGAACTGGAAGAAAATATGCAGTCTTTCTTAAAGAGCGCAGCCAAAGAACTAGGTAGGGTATGAAGCTACCATATATATTTACCTTTTTTGTAAAATGTTTTGAGATCAGCTCTCAAACTGCTATAGAGGAGTTAAAGGCTGTTTATTTTATAATTAGTTTTAGGTGACTTTAATTGTCGCAATTAGTACAACTTATTGAAAACGGAGTGATATTTTTGGGTTCCAACTTGGCCTTTTTTTAAGAATGGCGTTACAGACTCTTGCCGAGGTTATCATGCATATTTGCTAGTTACTGTGGAATTTCTTCTCTAGAACTGTAATTCATCTAACTCTTGGTTAAATAAAATTTTATTTTACATCCCTTAAGGTTGTACGCTGAGACATTTTTGTCCTGTCGATTCTTTTGAATGTCCAATCAGGCCAAGCGAGTTTTCTGTGTGAGGTTCTTTGCAAAATGTAATGTGTAATTCTTGGAAGCCAAAGGAGACATTTAAAGGATTTTTCATAGTATGATCAGTGTGCAGTTGTACAATGAATTGGGCATTCTAGGAGCAATTTTAATTAAAATTAAACTTTTTACTTTTTTAATGCAAATATCACAAGTAAAATTGGCAACACCATAGTTACTTTGGGTTACGCCTTTAAGGACTTGCGTTTTTTTCAGTCTTGTTTTTTTTAGTTTAAACAAGATACCTAGAAGAAAAAGAAGGAAAATCAAGGTTGCATAGGGATGGAATGAGAAATCTCACTTGCAGAAGTCTGTGTTGGTAAAAGGATCACAAGACTGTGCTGTGCGTTTTGCATCAATGTAGAATATTCTCGTAATGGGCTCTGAATGTTTTTCTTGTTTCTGGGGGGCGCATAGCAATACATTGAGGATGTACTTGATTTGAATATGCAATTTGAGGGCATATCAAATTAGGCATAAAGAATGAACCAGTAAACTTCTTTTAGGTCTGGGTATTTCTCCTACATGTGCAGACCCAAAACAAGTCTACTGAATGGCGTGTATGAGAGATGCTGCGTACAAGCTGAGGATTATTGAACAGACATAGCACAGACTACAGGCTCTTGGATGATAGTTTTCTTCTTTCTTTTTCCTTCTCTATTTTTTGAAATGTAAAAGGTTTGGAAGCTGGCAAAAGCGTCAAACTAGAGTCAAATTCACAATTTGGACATCATTTTCGAATTACTTGCAAGGAAGAAAAAGTTCTCCGGAACAACTCAAAATACAGAATAATTGATACACAGAAGAATGGTGTGAAATTTACTAACAGGTATGAAAGGATGTTGATGACTTTTCAAGCCTGTTGTGAAAGGAACAATTGTTCTTTGTTTGTAAGTATCCTGATAGGCTGTTTTTCCTTCAGCTTGAGTGGCTGAATTTTCACCTTCTTGTTACTCAACTCCTGTGTTGAAATGTTGAGCAAGACTGGCACGAGGGAGGAGTAGTCATGCAGTTGTCCGCTACAAGCACGCGTATGCATTCCCCATTTACTTTGCCAACTGTTCAGCTCTTTTTGTTCTTTTGACTTTGGCTAATTTCTCTGTTTTAGCTGCCTAATTGTGTTCGCTGTGACTGTTTATACAGACAGTTTCACAAGCTGCAATAGGAAGAAAGCTATTTATGCCTATCACCAAATATGATGTGCAGCAGTTTTGTTGGTAATTACCTTTTCTGTTTCAAACTACGCTCCAGCTAATGTTGGTCCTGTGCTTTGGACTTCTGTTTGTGTCTCTGTAGCTTAGGCTATTTAAAAATATCACTCTGAAGGCTAATTGCCTTGATGTTGTTTCAGTGCCTCCTTGTCCAGAGAACAATTCTGTCACAGGTCATCCATGCAAAAAAAAACTACGTTTTTTTGTTGTCCTAGAGGTTTTTTTTTTTTTTTTTTTAGAAGGAGCGTGGACTGCCTCAGTCATCAGATGTTTCACTTCTGTACTTCATTATTTTTACACAAGAAAGTAAAAAGTTGCCTTTGCAGAATCACCGTAGAATCATGGCATAGCTTGGGTTGAAAGGAACCTCTCAAGGTCAAGTGGTCCAAACCCTCAAGAGCCATCTTGGAAATTAGATCCATCTTCAAAGTTAGATAAGGTAGTTCAAGACTTTGTCCAGCTACCCATCATCCAAGGATGAAGATTTCACAAGTGAAAACTTTCTTAGCAGATCGGATCAGAGTTTCCTTTGCAGTAGCTTGGGTCTTCTCCGTCTCATTCTTTTGCTGTGAACCTCCAGGAAGACTTGGACCAAATCGTCTTCAATTAGGTAGTCTAAGGCAGGATTTGGATGCTCATTTAAATTCTCTTTTCCAGGGTGGAAAAAACCCAGCGCTCTTAGCTTATTCTTTGAATGCCATGTGCTCCAGCCCCAAATCATTGTGGTGGCTGTCTGCTGGACTTGTTCCAGGTTCAATACCTCTGAAACTGGGGAGCCCAAAACCAGACACAGTACTGCAGATGTGGTCTCACAAGTGCTAAGTACTGGGGGAGGATCACTTCCCTCAACCTGCTGGCTGTACTCTTGCTAATATAGCCAGAGTATATGTGGTTGGCTGCCTTTGCTGCAAGGGGTTCGCTGATGTCTCATGTTCAGCTTCTTGTCCTCCAGGACACCCGACTCCTTTTTTGTGAAGCTACTCTTTAGTCATTTGGACACCAGCCTGTACTCTTTCGTGGCGTTATTTCATCCCAGGTGCAGGACTTTGCATTTGCCTTTGAAATTCCTGTCAGCCTGTTTCTCCAGACTGTTGAGATCCTGCTCCGGCCCTCTAGCATATTGACTGCTTCCGTGAACGTGGTTTTGTTCACAAGCTCACTGAGTGAGTGTTTGAGAGTGCATTCTGTCTCGTTGCCCAAATTGTTAACAAAGGTGGGAATAGTATCGGCCCCAGCATCTACCCCAAGAAATGCTAGTAGTAACCAGCAACCAACTGGATTTTGCATGACAGACCTGTACTCCTGCAGCTGGACTGCTGGGCTAGAAAAAGCTGAAATCTGCTGTTGTGAAATCAGTGTGTTACTCTGCTGCTTGTCCTCCTCGCTTCCCTCAGGTTTTTATACTCTTTCCATTTCACGGTCTCTATAGCTAGGGTTACCGCCAACCTTCAAACCCCTGACAAGTTCCTCCTTGTTCATGAGTAGCAGATCCAGAAGGAAACTAGTCTTTAAGTATGCTGTGTGTATCGTGCACGTGTGCTGAAGTGTGCTGTGCGTAATGTACAAAAGAGTTAGAAAAGCAGAGATTAATACATCATAAAGTCTGTTTCAGGCAAAGAAACTGTGCTACTGTCACTTCAGATACTACAGCTCCTGCTGGAGTTAGCATTGGAGAAGTGAGTTTATTGAGAGAGGTCTTGATTGACATACCCGTATGAGTAGTACATACGGGGCAAGGTTGATATCAAGCAAGTGCTATTATTAGTGACTGTAATCTTGTTAACCACTTACTTTTGAAAGCAATAAATCCTCTGCATTGGAAAGGAGAGCAAGCATCACATATTTCAAAAGAACCAATATGTTGGAGTATTTCACGTGAATTTACTTAAGTGAACAAAAAAGCCCTTTACCTTTTACTTCAACATTTATTCAGAGGATATTTTCAAAACATCACTGAAATTTAAAACAACTCTATTTTCTTCTAAAAATATTATGAATCTAACTAATAATTAAGGTAAGCTTTCCATAACTGAGAAAATGGTACTTAAAACCTCTAATGTGAGTGTTATCTGTTACTTTCCTAAGGAGGAAACCCGTGGGTCACTAGCAAGACAGGGTTCTCTTAGTTTTCAGCTGATATAGTTGATCCTGCAGTCTGCAATAAAAGCACAAGGCTGACTTCTCTTTGTAGTATGAGTACACTATTCGTGTGTTTCATAGTCAGTCCTACTGCATCCGCTCTGAAAAGAGGCGAGTAGCTTGGAAGAATAAGTACTTGTTTAAATGTCTTCTTGATTTCGACTTACCTTTTTTTGGAGATTAGAGCCTATTCTTGGTGATAGTGGTTCACTGAGGCTTTTACTGAATGAAAGAAGGCAAATGCCTTCAGCTCTGATGAGAGTCTGTTATAGGAGGCTGGGTCCTCAGTTGCCCAGTGGCAAGTTTTCCTCTGCCAGCTCTAGCATGTGCCACGTTGTGTTGCAATAAATACTTTAAGACCAAATTCTCACATATAGCATGTCCATAACAAATATACTGTAGTATTTTAAGCGTGGTTCTATTCAGAGATGCTAGAATTGCTGGTTTGGCCCTTGTGGATGATATTCAACTTGGAATTAATCTTACTTAACGTCCTGGCTTGGATGACTCTTAGATTAGCTGCCTAGTGGTTCTTGGGTTGAACCCTCCTATTAAAACACTTGGGAATGACTGGGTCTGACTCATGGATGAAGAGGCCAAAAGTTATGCGTTATAGCAGTGAAGACAGAGAACATCACAGCTTCTAAATATTGTGGTTTTATTCACAGCAAACTGAGCTCCGTCAATGAAGAATATATAAAGAACAGAGAAGAGTATGAGGAGGCTCAGGATGCAATTGTTAAGGAAATCATTAACATTGCTTCAGGTGAATATGGCAGTATTACTCTGTATTGCAGTATGGAATGCTAAGAGGACTTGTATTTTTTTTTTTTTCCCCTAGTTCCTTCTATAGAGAAGGACCGTAACCTTCCCCAGAGAATTAGTGTAAAAATGGTTGTTGGCATTTAAACAGTTGAAAGCTTGAAATGTGTTGCAGTCTTCTATGGTCCGAGCTTTTCGTGGTGTTGCTGTAAGTACGCGGTGATGCTATTAAGCTAAGGACAAACCCATTAAAGATAGGAAAACACTTTTTAGTCTGAGGTATTAATATATTTAAATGTATTAAGTTACAGTGGAAATCTTCATGAGCTTTATGAGCTGCTGTCATGGTAAGGAATTTGCTTGATAAGTATGTTACAAAATCAGTAGCTGATAAGATCTTTTATTTTCCCATCTTGGTAATTTTCAGGTGGTGTTTTTTGTGTATAACATACTAAGGTTTGTATATTTATGTGGAAAGCTAATTGGTTATTACATCGCAGGATTAGCTACAGTATGTCATCTGTAAGTACCCAGTGTGTTTAAAAGCAAGTCTGCTGCTGCTAAAAGCTTCTATGGTGTGCATTCATGGACTTAGAAGTACGTACATGTATTTAAAAAGCATTTTTCTCCCTCACCCCCAGAGGCAATGTAATGGAAAAGAGACTGGATCATGTGTGTAATTCATAAATGAAAGCAGCTTAGTCATCTTGCTGTGCTATACCTAGCCAGTTCAAAGAGATGATGTCAGAACAGTAGGCATACTTTATACAGCGAGGACTCTTCTTTCTGCTGATCACTAGACACCTCACGATACATACATCCCATTTGCCACTGTTAGATGCTTTGCTTCTACAGACTCCTGTCCCTTGACCTTTTTAATTTAAAAAAAAAAAAAAAAAGTACTGAAACATCCTGGACCATCCAGGCTTGTTGCATGATATCACAGGCACGGTGTCTTACCAACCTCTCCATAACATCATTCATACAAACTTAAATAGTTGCACAGTGCTATCTCAATTGCCTTTGATTTTCATGCACATCAAAATTCATTGTATTATGGGGAAGGAAATTTGTAGGATTTGCAGCCATCTTGCAATTCTTCGCATTTCCTTTCCCATATTAAAATAAGCGGTTTATCTATGTCTAGTGTTAATGTGGAACAATCCACGTGGCCTCACCTGTTTCTTTTTCCTAGTCTGATGTGGAATCTCTCTTGCAGTCAAAGCATGAGAAGTTTGGGGTTACATTACTCACAGATGACGACTGCCAACTTGAGCAAAACTGAGTTTTAAGGCAGATGAATTAGTTAACTGTGTGGGTTGAATGTAGGCTTTAAGTTATCTTTTCAGCAAGAACAATCTTTACTATGTTGAATTTGTTTCTCTAAACAAAAACAGGTTATGCCGAGCCAATACAGACAATGAATGATGTGATAGCTCAATTAGATGCAATTGTCAGTTTTGCTCACGTGTCAAACGGAGCACCAGTGCCGTATGTCCGTCCTGCCCTTCTGGAAAAGGGTCAAGGAAGAATTGTGCTGAAAGGTTCCAGGCATCCTTGCATCGAGGTGCAAGATGATGTAGCCTTCATCCCCAATGACATTACGTTTGAGAAGGGCAAGCAGATGTTTCACATTATTACTGGTAAATGTTTATGTTACCTTTTTCACTTGTCACTTAGGTTCTAAATATTGTAAGTATTTCCAATAACGATACTCTTTGCTAAAAAAGTAACTCCTCTATCAAAACAATTTCTCTCATCAGCAAAGGATGAACAGCTAGTAGGTTATTCACGTATGCGTCTGTGGGATAAGATTTAGCCCTGGGAAAAAGGGAAGGCATTTATAAACTATTATTACCTTTTTTTAAAAAAAAAAAAAGCTACAATGTTCTTGTTGAATGTTTCCTTTGATATTGGATATTGTGCGTGCTTGTGCGCATATGCCATATTTCCCACCTATCAAACTACTAGTCGTGGAATTAGTTGTTACAATTGTAGTTATAGTATGCTGTTTGGAGAGGGTGATTGCTAATTTAAAAATAGTCATTTGGGAAGAAGAGAAAACCTGCTTGTTAGGATACTAGGAAGAAGAAATTAGTCTTTCCTTAATAGGTGTATTTTTTGCCTTACTGAAATGTCACTCAATGAGCCAGGCAACCTCAGGAGTTAACAGAATCTGAACCTACTTAGGTGCTTTGGAAAATTCCACCAGGCGTCAGTGGTACTGTAGCCATGTAGGCACATTTTGTGGGTAGGATTTTAAACAGTCAGTTCATTAGAGTTAATATTTTTTTCGTTTTAAAGGGAGTTTTAAATGCAAAATATGTTTTAATGAATGTACCCTTTTTTCCCCCTATTCTCTAGTGCAATTAAGATAAATTTTACTACATAGGAAAACATTTTTAGTATTTATATGTTTAACTGAATTTTAATTTCCATCCAGATGTCCTTGACACACATTCTGAGTAGGAAAGATCTTACGTTAGAGAATAGTTAATGAACCACCTGTTACGTAACCAAAAATAAAAACTAAGAATCAGAATAAATGCATGGTAATATGCATAACAGCTAAAGTTATGAACTTGTTTTTTTTATGATTAGCAAAAACCTAAAATTGGTTTTAATGAACAGCTTTTAGGAAAACACTTTGTTTCATTTGTACTCCTGTTAATTACTCAATATCTTTGTTTTTACTGATTCATAATCCCTTTAGATTGTAATTTAAATCACCACTTAGCTTACCCTGTCTGTAACTAAGATATTTAGTTTTTACAGGCAAATTTTAATTGTTCTTTGATATGAAAGCAAATTATTTTCATTCTTAAACAATGATACTGATAACTCCTAAATGAAAGCTTATTAGTTTTAGGTATGAGCATGTTTTTTAGATGAGTGGTTATGCTTTGGAGAAGTTGTCACACAACTTACGAAGCTCCTCATACTCGTTTCTTTTTAAAAAGCATCATTCAGTAATGTGTACGAGCAAGCCATTGTGGTAGTAGAGCTACATGTTGTACCTGTTATGAAAGGGTAGCAAACTTTCCTGGCAAAAGAATAAAGTTTAAATGTTGTTTTAATTTAGAACCTGTTCTCCTTCTAATGTTAAAAGACGATGTTTTGAATTCCTTTGGAAAAATTTCTCCTTTAGGCCCTAACATGGGGGGAAAGTCAACATACATCCGACAGACCGGGGTGATAGTTCTTATGGCCCAAATTGGATGTTTTGTACCATGCGACTCTGCGGAAATAACCATTGTGGATTGTATCCTGGCGCGGGTAGGAGCTGGGGACAGCCAGCTGAAAGGTGTGTCTACTTTCATGGCTGAAATGTTAGAAACTGCATCAATCCTTAGGTAAGCCCTGTGTTTATGTAATTTCATTGATTTGAGCTGATGGTGAAACGACATGTTCTAAATACGATGCAACATAAGATTTTTCTCTTATGTAGAGCAGATGAGGGGTTGTGACTCAAAATGGAGGCTCTCGAGTCCTTTTTAGCAGGATCATAAGTTCTTGAAGTAGCCTTTTGTTTATTTCAGTGATCATACAGAGCTGTTACCAGGAGGCCCAAGTTTAAATTGGCCAAAGAAGCTCTAACTTTTGGAATAATCTTTGTGATGCTGTTTGTGTGCTTTATTCATATGTTGTTATGTAAACAGGAAGTGTATCTGGTATCTCTCTTATGCTCTTTGTCTACAACATAACTTGTATTGCTCGAATATTCAGAGTTCATCCTGTTCTCAAACTTTATAAAATGCTTTCCTGTTTTTAGGACTGCATCAGAAAACTCCCTGATAATCATTGATGAGCTGGGAAGAGGAACTTCTACCTATGATGGCTTTGGCTTAGCGTGGGCTATTTCAGAGTACATTGCTACCAAAATTTGTGCTTTCTGTATGTTTGCTACACATTTCCATGAACTGACAGCGCTTGCTGACCAGGTGCCCACAGTTAATAATCTACATGTTACTGCTCTGACCAGTGATGACACACTCACGATGCTTTACCGTGTCAAGGAAGGTAAGACTGTGTAAACTGTGAACAGGGTAAATTTTATTGCACTCTGAGACAGATGGGAGGAAATCGTAATGGAAAAGAACATGAAAATACTTCGTATGCGGTACTGCAGCTTAGTTTTTGTCCGAATACAACGGGCGGGCTCTTCTCTATGGGTAGAGAACTTGTATGGCAGGATACTCTCTTTTTTTAGAACAGAAGTATTCCAAATGTCGTTATTTCCTGTTTTCCTACATCAGCCATCTTTACCTGCTGCTATATTTTTGCTTTAGTTTTTCTTCTGGAAGAATCCTATTTTTAGTAAATCATAGAGAAAAGATTTATCACCTTATTTAAACTGTTCTTTTAAAAGAAATGAGTGCAAATTACATGTACTGACAATTATTAAAAAATTGATGGATATTTCACTATAAAGAGGCTTGGTCACTGAAGATGTTCCCTACTTATGCAATAGTATGATCTAGAAAAAAATCGTAAGTTTAATTTTTAGGAAGTGGCATCATAGTAAAACAACAAGTAGCTTGGTATTTTTTGAGTGTCAGAAAACGCAGACGTATTTTATTGGAATCCTTTTGTGGATCCAGTGATTCCTTTTGGTATTAAATTACGTAATTTTTAGACTAGCGTAAATTTCATCTGTTAAACTCTAGTAGGTGGTTCTTCCTGCTTCCCTGTATCCCCAGTTGTTTGTTCTTGCTCCTTTCAGCAGAAGCCTGTATTTATGCCGTATAAAGTGGGGCTGTGTAACTGGCTTGAAAGGTCTGGTCGTGTATGGGATTCTTAATTTAGTTGTCAACTCTACAGTGATTGTGATGTTCCTGTAAGAGCATTTCAATTGGGTCTCCTGCTGGTAGTCTGATTTTTGAATTGGAATGTGTGCAGAGTACTACTACGCTATATTTTCACTTAAAACTTCTCCTAATTGTCTTTTTCTCAGTTTCACTATGAAGGAATAGGTTAGATGACATTCAGATAGATAAGAACATAGTTGCTGTAGAACACGGTGGCTATGCTGGATCAGATCACAATTTACCTGGTGGAATAGTTGTGTCTCGAGTAAGGAATAACTATTTGAGGAGTCAGGCTGTAAATCTTTTCTAAGATAATTATTTCATATCATCCGTTCTTATTAAGGCTGAGGAGCTGGTCCTTGTCTTATATCATGAATCCTGAAAACTGATGTTTATATCCTCTTAATTTAAGATTTACTCTTATACATGCAACTGCCGAACCATATTCCTTGATTTAAAAAAAAAAAACTGTTCTGTCATTTTGACACGATACCAAAAATTTGCTTCCCTTGCCCGGTTCGTCGTAATAACTCTGACTTTTCAGTTCATTTCCTCTCACGTGTATGAGTCTGAAATTTGTCTAATGTGCTGTCCACTTATTACATATTTATTATGCTTTAAAGGATAACTTTTAATAATCTTCACAGGCTATCACCTTACTATGAACTTTCTCTAGATAACTGTTAAATGTGTCTTACTGTGTGCTGTTCTGAGCCTCGTTCAAATGGCACCATGCTGTTTTCTTCCTATGACATTGCTCATTAACTGTTTCTTACTCTTTTTCATTTCTTCTGGTTTTGAATCCATGAAATGTCTTCACTTCTTGCAATTTGATTACTCTTAAAACTGCTTCTGATTTTATATTCACTCATGACTATAGTCTTGCATTTATCTTTCTGGTATCCTTCCCTCTGAAGCTAGGAGACTGCTCTGAACACGGGGAATCAAAGCTTGACCAGAAGTACTGCTCTCTGCTGGCTGTACTTCCAATCTGCTTGAGACTGATCAGAGAACCTCCAGCCGCCTCAGTCTCGTTTTCTCTTAGTATGGTGTCCTTGTCTTATTTTGAGCGCTTTTTTCCTGAAAAATGGCCTCTGTTCTTTCTGTTTCAGCACTTTTGTTGGGCAACGTCCAGACTGTTTCTGAGCTGCAAGTCAGCGGCCCTGGTAACCAGCAGCAGAGAGGCAGTGTCTATGGCTCTTGAGTAGTTTGCATGAATGTTGAGCTCCTTCTGCTAAAGGCAGACTCGAAGCCCTCTGAGTGCCTGGCTCAAGTCAGGGCTTAAAACAGGCTCTTACTGTGCTCGGAACTGAAGAGTAGAGCCATAAATTGCCACAACCAGACACTTACTGCATTGAAAATACTCAGAGTTTAAGTGTCTGGAGGTGGTCAGTATCTCCAAACAAGCCTTGTTGTTACCTTTATTTAGGTGCCTTGTTTTGAAAACTTTAAAAAAAATTAAAAAAAAAATAGTATACAGTAAATCTAAACCTCCTCTCCTCTAATGCCTGGATCTTTTATAGAAGCAACTTTTAAGATTAAAAATAATAAAAATACTCCCCAAATAGTTGTGTGAATTCTCTCTCTTCAGTTCCTTCCCACTTATTTATTTATTTTAAACTCTTATCGGTCTGCCCATTCTGGTCCTTGCTGAAAACTCTAGGAAGCCAGGCCTCATATTATTCCTCAGTCAGTTTTGCCATTTTTAGTGATATGCATGTTTTCTTTGTACATACATCTGACCCATTTTCTTCAAAGTGCTATTGAGTATGCAGACACAATAGTTTGTATCTATTGACTTAAATCTCTGTCAGGTGAAATACAGTATTCTGAAAGCTTCACCTTAAAATACCTGGTCTCAAGTTGATTGTCTTTCATACAAGTTTTTGGATTTAGTGTTGTGAGTCTTCCCTTTTTGAAGATATATATTGTTAAAGCAAGGATATAAAGAGAGGCAGCTCAGATGCAGCTGTTCTGAAATGAGTTTTTTGTTTCAAACAATTTGAAATGTATAACTAAATCTTAACAGCATGAGGGAGAAGGACTTTCTATTTAGCTACCAATGTCTTCAGAGTAAGCCTCCAAATTCCTTCATGTTTCTGAGAACTTGCCTGTTGTCATACTGTGTTCACTCTGCAACTTTCATACGATATTTTCATTCCTTTCTTCGTGCTTTGAGTGTGATGGAATCAGTGGAAGAGGGCAGGGACAGAATATTTCTTTTCGAGGCCTCTTTTCAAGATTCTTTCAACAGAGACTTGAGTTAACTTTGTATTAATGTAAAATCAAGAAAACTGATTTCTATTTTAAAGGAAAAAAAGAAAGTAATTTCCTTTAAGAAACCAGAAAGAATACAGTGCTAATAAAATAGAAAAATATCTAATGCTAAATTGTTTCCTTTGCCTATATTATGGTTATTCAGTATTTAAAAGATGATTAGTTAAGTAACATTTTAAATATATAATTCAACCAATTTCCATTCTTGCTGGAGACCAGAATTGAAAGGATGTAATAATATTTGTGGGTGGCCTTTCAGAGATAGCAGTATAAAGGAATGGAGTTGAAAGATTGTATCAGAGGAGATCTGATATGGAAGTGAAAAGGATTTTATGTAACTATATAATTGACATGTTATAAGCAATTGTGAGAACTTTATAACAATGTTATAAGCAGTATATTAGTTGAAGTAAATACAAAGTTAAAGTTGAAAGGTTTTGATATAATTAAAACTCCTTTTGGAGACTAGGGAGCTATGTGATACTGATGTAAATTCAGAGGAGGACTGAGTGTGTGTTTGTATAAATTTGGTGCAGGTGACTATGTTCTACAGACTGTGCTAAAGTACTTCAATAAAAAAAAGTTATTCAATTTCATTCATTCTCGTTTGCTTGAAGAGTCTTCCTTTTCTTTGTGAAGTGCTTTTGGAGCTTTACAATTACTGCTCCGAGAGAGCTTGATTAAAAAGAGCACATTCTTTAGCCTATTATCAGGTGTAGTCCAAAAGGTAGATCAGAAAATATCCAGAGAACTCAACCATATTAAATGCTCCGTTCTTCAGAACAGAATTAGTGCAAGTTTGTTCATATAATCTTTGTGTGTTCTTATTATGCCTTGAGAATTCTTTACAGATTTTTTTTTTTTCCTCCACCTCCCAGGTGTTTGTGACCAGAGTTTTGGAATACACGTAGCGGAGTTGGCAGCTTTTCCAAAACATGTAATAGAGAGCGCGAGAGAGAAGGCACTGGAGCTGGAGGAGTTTCAAAACATTGGCAAATCAAAGGAATCTGAAGGAGAACCACCAGCCAAGAAACCTTACAGAGAAAGAGAGGTTTGCTAACCTTTTTTTTTTTTTTTTTTTAAAGCTGGAGTAGCCCAAGCAAAATGGTTTTAAGATTCAGATTCCCCCAGAGCTTGAGGGTAAAAACTGTAATCCCATTTTTCCCTTAATGAAATGGTTTAGTTATGAAGCTCATGAGGAGCTGAAGAGACGTTCAAGGATATAGTGAGTTTTGGTTTGGACTTGTTTCAAGTTGACATACGGAAGAATTTTATCTAAAAACTTAACCGTTCATGAGAATTAAATCTTTTTTTTTTCTTAAAGAATAGTAAATCAGTAGTTAGTATGACTGGTAAGAACTGAAGGCATATAAGGGACCCTATCTCCAGCTGCCCCTTGGGTTTTTCCTTGTGCCATGAACCAAAACCAGAACTTTGTATTCTTCTCTTTCGTTGGCTATTTAGCTTGTGTACTATATTACTTGGGACTTTTAAAGTTTGTAGTTCTTGGGTTGATTGTTGTTTAGATTATTCTTGACTCTGCAGGTAGGCTGCATCTGTTCGTGCTCCCCTTTTTGAGGGCTTATTAGCACTAATTCCTTGAAGCTCAATGTGCATCTGTTCAGATCCGTTAACATCAGAAAAAAGCTGAGTGCACAGCTTTCTCCTTTGCGCCCTTCCCTGCCCCTTCGAGTACTAAGATATCCCACCAGCTGATCGTAAGGAAGGGCCTGGCAATTTGGACTCTGGCATCTACAAATCAGACATTCCTAAGTTCTTCCTGTTTAATGCGCAGTATGTGAGAATTTCAGCTTGGTTCTCCCTATTCAACTGTGGAGGAAAAAGTTCTTGGCCTTGCACAGGCTCCAGGCAGAAACTGAGGAGGAAATCCACACCTTGGCATAGATCTGAATGTGTCTGCCTCGCAGACTATGCAGTCGCATAAATCCATATGAGACTCTTCTGAATTTTTGAATGATCTTTCTTTCCTCCTCTCCATTTTCTCTTAAAAGAAGTAGCAGGTAGTGTGAGGGGAAAATAATAGCCAGTGGGAAGCTTTCTCAGAATAGCCTGTGTCATTATCTTCTTTCTGGATCAAAAATCCTCAGTGACATCCGCTGCAGCCTCCTAGGAAATCTACATGCTCTCTTTAGGCTCTTTACCTTTATGCATGCCCATAACTCTGTTTACAGATCTTAATTCTGCGTCCTGGCAGCCAGCCTGAAACTTTTCAGCTTTGTAACTCGTTAATCCTTTCCTGTAGATCAGTTGCAACCTTGGTAATGCTCCAGGATGTGGAAGCCTCGAAATGTGTTAGTCCATGTCCAAAGCAGTTTCTACACTTAAGATGAAGTTTTGCTCTAGATAAGAGGCTGTTATTTCATTTTCAGTTGCAGAGGTCCACTGTGTTCGTTCCTGGCTCAGTAGGTGGATCTGATGCGTGTTGGGGATGAGCAGATCTGATTTTCCCTTCCTGTTGGTACCAGGAGGAGGGAAAGCAAGCATTTGGGGGAGTTTTGCTTCAAAAGCTGTGAATAAGTAGTATGCAAAAACGCAGAAGACATCAGTTATTGGTAGCAGTGGTCTAAATTCACACCACTTCTTAAATGTATTTTAATGAAAATACTGTTGCTATAGGTTTGCCTCAGAGTTGAGGAAGGAAGGGACACAGGGACTTATAAGCAGCCCTGAAGTCTGTAGGTATCAGTCAGAGGGGCATACGCGCAGCTCCCCACTGTGACCTAGTGAAAGCTTCCCTGGTGCGTGCATGTGCACCACCAGCATGGGTCTCTCTTCTGCTTTGGTCATGTTCAGTCTGCATCTGTTGTGGCCTATCAAAAAGGGTAGTCTCTCAGTAGTGATGGTGCTCTAAAGTTGTGAGAGAGGAGGGTTTGTTTGCCCTCTGTTGTATGTTTTTCTCCCCGGCTACTGCAGTTGCTTTACTATTATCTAGCAAAGTTGACAAGGGAATGATGTAATGAAAAAGTATTTTTCCCATCAGTTGGATCCAGTCGTAATGAGGGTTATCATCTCTTAATTTGGTATAAATCACATTGATGTGGCAAACACTTCTGACAAATGCAGCATGGTGTTTCATGCTTCAGTATTTCAGAAATAAATATTTCATAAACTCTGCAGGCAGTAAAATGGCATAGCTTTAGATGTCTTGCTCAGGCAATTTGTTTATATTCATTAACATCACCTTTAGGAAGACAGATGTGCTATTATATTTCGAAGTGTCTTGGAGACTTCTGCAATGAAAGCACACTGCATTAGCCCTAAATGTTAAAAACGATAAAACTAAGCAGGCTTTGTACTAGAGTCCTGGAATGCAAAATAGACTGGACAGAATTCTATATTCTTGGCAAATGGTTTCTAATACGGAAATTCTGCACGCTAATCATAGAAATGTTTGTTCTTACAGTTGAATTCAGATTGTTTAGAAGTTTCCCTTGGCCTGTTTGTGTAAAAGCATATGTGCAAAGCTTAATTATCATCTGTTCTCCTTGGGGATGGCCAGTCTCCAGTTGCTTGGTAACAATTTGTTCTTTCCTTTTGCCTATTGAAACATTGGTTTTGATTTACAGTTCATTTGAAGAGTAACTAGTTTGGGTAACAGAGCCGCTCTGGTGCTATCATTGCCAGCACTGTTCACCTAGTGTGGTTTTGTATAGGAATTAAATGTGGAATATGCCTAGGAACTGTGTTAAATGTTCCACTAACAACTATTTCTGCTGATCAACAGCTTTGCTTATGAAAGTTTTTTCATAACAGTTTTTAACAGTTTTTTGCTTATGAATCCAAAGCGGAAAGAACTTAATGCCAGTAACTGGATTGTCCTGGTGGTGAGAACGTGATGGCAAGTGCAGAAGTAGTAGTCTTTTGCCTGCAAAAAGTTTCAAGTGCAGAATAATACTTTCTTTTGTAGAATTTGGGAAAATCCTTCTTATAAGCTAAACATTCTTTTTTTGTGTGTGTGTTTGTGTTGTGTGGTTTTTTTTTTTTTTTCCCCTCTGTTCCCTCCATTTCAGGAAGGTGAAAAAATAATTCAGGATTTTCTTTGTCAAGTGAAAGCATTGCCCCTGACAGACATGTCAGAAGAAGACATCAAAACCAAGCTGAAGCAGATGAGGACTGAAGTGTTGTCGAAGAACAACAGTTTTGTGAATGAAATCATTTCACGAACAAAAGTTACGTCATGAAAGATGTGAGAAGAGGATGCAGCTCTTGAAGGGTTTTATGTTAAAGAACTATTATTTTCTTGTCTTGTAGTCTACTTCATGATATTTTGTACTGATTTAGGTAGGCATTTTTTTCTTGAACTAATTATTTTGTAAAAAAAACAAAAAAACCAAAAAACAAAAAAAAAAACAAAAAAACCCAACCAACCAAACAAAAAACCCTCTGAGCACATTCTGTGGCAGATTCCTGCTTTATTTGTGATCGTTTGTGCCCTTTTAGTTCAATAAAATTCTTTTTCGTTATTGAGAGAATTGTTAACTGTACAAACAAAACACGCTTTAACAGAAAGTGTGCTTGAAAGCATAGCAGTTCAGATGGCATACAGCTATCACGGGCTTGAAAAGCAACAGCTTTCTGCCATGATTCTTTTTCGTGTGATGCAATTACACCCATTAAATCAATGAAGTTTTAGTAGTGCTGTATAGTGCTCCATTAGGAAAAAGCATGTGATCTCAGGGATTAGTCATAGAATCGTGTGTGTACATGTTTGGAGCTTGGGCAGGGAGACAGAGTTGTTGTGTTTTGTTTTAATGTTTGGACAGGTAATGTTTGACCCAAATATACTAGAGGCTGCTCTTCAGGTTGGAGTGGTGGTAACTCTGTTATATTGACACTTTTTTTGTGTGGTTTTGTAATGTAGAGAGAGGCTTGGATGAAGTTACAGTTTAACTTTTTAATGCTTTTCTTCTCCCCTCCCTTTTTTTCCTTTAATACACTTCTCACATTGAGACATTTTGGAAGCATACGGCGCATGTAGGTTTATATTCTACGGCGCATGTAGGTTTATATTCTACGGCGCATGTAGGTTTATATTCTACGGCGCATGTAGGTTTATATTCTTGAAATTTAGTGCTTTAAATTATAGCTCTAGGATGCTTTACCTGTATTTAAAACTGGCGCTGTTGAAAGATTAGTGAGGAAAAGTGTTTATCACATTGTGACTATAGGAACAAAATTATGCTGAAGATGTCACGTGCAAGATGTCAACTCTTGCTGTGTCCTGAAGCAGGGATTATATCAGTGGGGGTCTGTGCGTGCGCCGGGGCCAGCTGTTGCTATTAAAGCTGTGCTGCAGCTCTGCATCAGGGATTAGTCCGTTACAATAGTTTGTATTTAAACATTCCAGCGATAGTTGTAGAAGAGTTGTCTTGCTCAACTTGTTATTGGATAATCTTTACTTCTAATTAGACTAGAACTTGGAAAAGAAACACGCTCCTCAAAGGAAGAAAATAAAAGTTGGTTTGATGTGAGATTCTGCCATAAGACCTTTTTAGTCTTTAATTTAGAACACAATATACTTTCAAAGACAAAAATAAAGACTTGCATTTGCAAACAGTGCAGTAGATATGTGTATTCAGTAGCTGTGTCTGGAAAGTGTTTGAATGGAAAAATCCATTATAGTTGTATAAGATACAGCTGTTTTGGCAAATTCACCCGGTTCAAGCACAAGCTATTTCAAAATACAGAATTATAGATAAAATACACAATGAGAATCAATTTAACATTACTGCGGAAATTCATATTGACACATTTTTGTATTGGATCATGCAGCTTTAACTGATGCTAGAAACAAGCAGTGCTTGTAAGTACCTGCCATTCCAATCACCTACGACTTCTGCGTATATAAACTGAGCTACCCTTGGTCAGATCAAAGGTGCCTCCAGCTTGGCATCCTGATCCTAACCATAGCCATTAGGGAGTAACCTAGGAATAGGCATAACCGTTTAGAAGCCTTCAGTGGTTTTCTTTTCCAGGAACCTGTCTGTTCTCCCCTTGACCCCATGTGAACTTTTAGCGTCTACAGCGCTCTTGCCCGAAGGAGTTCTGCACTGAAGTACCTCCTGCAAGAACCACCAGTTCCTTTTGCTTGCTTCGTGCCTGATTTCTAGTTACATTTAGTGCTTCTTGTTTTATATTCTCGAGGTGTCAGCTCTTGCCATGCTGGTTGTGATGTGTAAGTACAGCATGCCTGCAGTATCTTGAGGAAATGCTGCTTTTATTTTTGTGTTGCAATTGGAAGCTGATAGAGCTGCTTATGTGAAACCAGATTCCCCCCTCCCCAGGGGTGAAAGCAGTGCTCCGTGCGTTACACAGAAGCGACGAGAACCCTGACTGTACCTGCTCCGTGCAGTACCCTCTCTGTGCCCCAGAAGAGGAGTTCTGCCAAAAAATTAGCTTGTTTTCTCCCACCTCATGCCCTTCAACCTCCACAAGGAAAAAAAGGGCAAGTTAATGGAGTTGTAAGACTTTCCTTCTGCTTGTCCCACCGCCTCTTCAGAGCATAGTGCTGCTGCCAGATATAGATAGGCAAGAGAATCTGGCCCAGAATGGCTTACAGGTAGTGTGATCCTATGTGAGCAGGAGAGTGGCTCCTTTTGTTAATTCCAATAGAGCTTTTCTTTCAGAACTGTACCTATGACAGGAGCAATGCCAGGAGCCTGTCTCGTTATTACAGAGCTGTGCCCAGAATGCAAAGATTATCAAAGCTTCAGAACAAAATAACGTAGCTGTCAAGAAGCACTGAGACCCCTTAACTGTCAGCCTTGAATAAAGTTGCGCTTTTCTCTTTGCTCGTGTGCTCCAGTGTTTGAGAAATCTTGGCGCTGAATGCTTACTACATGTGCAGTGGTCTTAGTCTGTGTTAGAGAAGGAAATTGTAACTGATTTAGTTTCAGCACTGTTAGAGAAGGAAATTGTAGCTGATTTAGCTTCAGCTTAGCATAAGTCTGACTCTTGCTTAGCGTAAGTGCTAAAGTAGATGAAGCCTGCAGGCCTCAAGGCTGAACTGTCAATGGACTCCAGAAACATTGCTAACCATGTGACATTGCTGATGATGCAACTGCAAAACTAATTAAAACTAGCTAACAAAGATACAAAACTAGCTAATGAGGATACAAAGTAGAATGCAGGAGATGAGATGGGATACACCTGGGTTGTGGTTGACCTTTGAGAAGATAAGGGACTGTGGGAAACAAGGACATGGCAACCAGCCTGGGATGTAGGCCAGGACCTATCAGAAGGAGGGAGACACCAATCAGAAGGAGAGAGACCACTGACTCAGTAAAACAAGACTGGAGGAGACCTTCACTGGCAGGTGAGGAATTAAAACTGTAAAGGGTATAATTACCCCAGAATTTATTTGTTTGGGGTTCCCCTCCAGAGGCACCCAGCTTGAGCTGTTACTATGTTGTACTATCATTTAAATAAATAATTAATTTCACTGCTAGATGTATGTGAGACTCTGCTCCTCAGAAACCTAGGGTTGAACTGTTTCTATAGCAGTCTGTGCAGTTATTCTTCATTTAGAAGACTCTTTATGAAGAAAACTGCTTTAGGTGGGGTGAAAGAAAAGAGTGGACATGATCATAAACTAATGGAATTATTTTCTTGTGAAAATGTCATTCAGTCTTGGTTGCTTTACCCGTCTTGATATGCATCTATTACTTTTGGTCTCAGGCTGATTTTGCTTTCGGTCAGCACCAGCCAATATCGAGAGGCATTGATGCCTGTCCATTTCCAAACCTATCACTAGGGATCTATATTGATAGGTGTCAATACCTCTTGTTCTTGAGAGGCATCTATAGCTTTTGCTCTCGGGTTGATTTTGCTCTCAGTACGTACTGATTGCTATCCACATTGACTGTTCTCAATATCCAGACACCTCAAAGAGTGTGTGTTTCCATACATGTTGCTTTGGAATAACATCTATGGATATTGATTGCTATCGGCTGCTTCAACACCTCCGGCAGCGCCAGCGGAGAGTCCGAACTAGTAACCTGGCTGCACTGACCTGACTCCATCCAGAGCTGCTTTGGTGCCTTTTGTTCCCAGGGCGATGCCTATGCAGCATCACCCAGGGAGCTACACGAAGTGCAGCGGACTCGGCCTAGTGCTGTACCTCCATGCCTGGGGAGGGATGTGTGCTTTGAACAAGCAATATGGTCCAAAGGATCAAAAATGGAGCTGGGGTCACAGAATCTGGTCCCAAGAAATAAAAAGATTTGTTTACCACAATACAAGTCTTACAGATCTTAAGTAATCTTTGCAAATATTCCTTGGAAGCAATACTCCCTTGATATTTTCAGTCCCACTCCCTAATGTCTGTCTTTGTAGGTCTTTGCTGACTTAAATTTCCTCTCCTTAGTTTTAAGGTGTTCCAACCTTGTGGCGAGTAGTTTCCTTATGCTCTCATGTAATTACAAAGAAGTTTAAAAAAAACAAAATCAAAGTTTTATGTTTTACTATTGAACCCTAAAATTATCAGCACAATGATCAGGACAATATCTGATAATGATTTTAATGCTCTGGCTGTTTCAGCTCTTTTTTTCACCATGAACTAGGGAGGCACAGCAGGAGGGTTCCACTTGTCTGCTGATTGCTTCTCTTTTCATCTTGGGTAGTAACAGGTTTTTTTTTTGTTTTTTTTTTGGTGAAGTTATGCTTTCTGCTTGCAGTAGATCATCTCTTGCATTTGTATTTTGCTATGGCATTTATCATTCGGGGACACTGTGATGCAGGCAATTCACTCACAAATTAATGAAAATAAATGACCAAAAAAAAAAAAAAAGCCTGCCTACTTTGTCCCTGCATCCTGCAAAAAACTGTGTGTTAAAGTGAAAATGATTGGAGATCTACACGTAGAAACACAAGGAGGTGCACATGAGCTGTATGAGGTCTTCCCTCTTTCATGGATGTAGGTCCACGCTGAAACTGAAAGGAAGACTTCCCAACCTGTCAGTTTTTCACAGAAGTCCCAGCCTTAGAGTGCCAAGGGGTGGGAAGTGCAGGAACACTGGCTAGTGGCACTGTGGTGTTACCGTGAGGAGTGCTGGTCTCCCCTCGGTGTAGGTGTTGAACAGGTAGGTCATAGTATGAGATGGTTTGGGAGGGGGTCTGTTTCTCAGCCTCCAGGTAGGAACCACAGCACCTGAGTCCGCCTTCTTCCAAGCCTTCATGCAGCAGGCATGAGAGATGCCGGGGCAATTTCTTAATTTTACGTTAGTTCCTGTAATGATATCTTGGGCACTGCAAAACCAAAGTAATCGACGCAGTAAAAAATGCCCTCAGGCTGGGGGGTGAGGGGCTGCTGGTGCCGCTCTGAGCTAGGGCAGGGCCTTGGCTCTCGGTGCTGCAGCCAAGACGCATCCCTTCATGAGCAGGAGCCCCAGGGAGGCTTTACCATTTCCCTCACGGGCAGCGCTCTCTGCCTCTCCCCAGGCTCCCTCAAAGGAGCCTCGGTTCGTAGCACAGGCTCTCCTTTCTCCTCACGGCCTTGGGGGCTGCATGTGCTAACAGCATCCAGCACTGGGGAACCGAGTGGTTGCTCTTTCTTGTGGTCCTGTGGCCACTAGCATTTCATTCAGCTGATTTCCTTCAACTTAAACAGTCACTTGAGACCGACTATACCTCCTCCTCTGCGGGGATGGGCTGTTTCCTACAAGCGTCCTCTAAAGGGTTAAAAGTAGCTGTGATCACGGAACTTGGGCGCTGGCCCCAAGTCCACAGAAAACAAGTAACACTTAGCAGGTAGGCTATGGGCCGTGAGGATTATAAAACACTTGCATGGCTGGTTAGCTTTTTTAAGATGTTAAGTCTTTTGAGGGTGGGAGTGCTGCCGCAATCGATGCTAAAGGCAGTGAGCAGATGGTCCTCTGCAGCTCCTGCAGTGGCCCCTGGGCTCCCACTGCTGGGAGAAGGCACCAGATGTCTCATCTGCACGTTTTGTCATGGTGAAGCCCCCTTTCAGTTCAGTAATGCATCAGACAGAGCAGAACTAAGTTGTCTGTAGCAGATTGGAGTGTTATTCCTGTTTTTCTATTGTACTTTTTCACTTAGAGTAGCATTTTAATGACTTTTTTTCCTCATTGTGACTAGCTTTGTTTTTTTTTCTCTTTTCAGGGAGGAAATTAATTTGTAGAAAGAAAATCTTTCAGAAACGTCCCTTTTTCTTGTAAGGGCTGGATTTTAAGCACAACATGTTATGGTGCAACATTGGTTATGAGAAAACTGCAGTGCTGTTTATCTTTTTGTCGAACAAAGACACAGGATTAGCTCTCAGTAATCTCTTGTAAGTTATATACTCATCCGGTGTGAATTGGAGTAACTGCGTGAAGTAAATGGCTTTTTTTCCTGAGATTATACTGGCTGTTGATTTGACCTGTGGGTCCATGCTAATGCTATTGCGCTCTTGGTAGTTCTCAGTGGTTTAATGTTTCCCTCTTCAGTACAGAGTGTGTCTGTGGATAAAAGTGTAATTTCCTTACAGGAAAGGAAGACCTCAGAAGCTGATGAACTTCTTCACTGTTAGAACTGCAAAGTTTAGTTTTACTGATTTTTAAGGAATCCCAGCAACGTAGTGAGAGCTGCCTTAGTTAGACGATCAGACATTGGCTTATTCTGTGCATTGAGAAAGAATAAAAACATCCAAGACTTTGCTTCAGTACACACAGAGTATACTTTTTATGATCTTTCTTTTTCCATTTCCCCTTTCAAGAGAAATCAGATAAGATGCCAAGCTGCTTAAAGTTGTTTTACGTGAACAGGAGTTTTTGCTGTGTTCAAAGTATCTCTTCCTTGCTGTTTTTATTCTAACCAGGTCTGTTTTTAAAAAAAAAAAAAAAAAAAAGGGAAAAAGCCAATGCACTGCTCTTTGCTTCTCTGCTGGGGTCCTGGGCTTGCTTGCGTAAGTGGACATGTGGCATCTGCTGGCCTCCTTGTCCCAAGGAGAATCGAGGGCTGGTGAAAACACTGATGAGCAACTGCAGGTGGTTGCAGCCTGAGAGGCTGGAGGCCAGAGCTGGTGACCTGAGGGCCTGGGCTGGCCTGAGGGTAGCAAAGATGTCACAGCAGAGCTGGCCTATCCTCTCCTGCGAGGATGCTGCTTGGTGGGGCTAAACCTCGAGCGGGAGCAAGCCAACACTGCGCAGTGTGTGCCAGCGCCGGTTGCTGTGCCCGGTTCGCTCTGTTAGCATGCTAAGTAGAGGCGATGGGTGTTTCTGAGGGGTTTTGGAGCACGATAACCTGGCTGAGGGCAGTTTGGGACTGCAACCTGCCCTGCACTGAGCATGACCTTTGCTGGTGCTGGGTGTCTCTTCTCCAGGGCCACCGCTCCTGGCCCTTCGGACAAGTCCTTGGGGGGATGCCATGTGAAGCGCTGCAGCTGAACGCTCCGGCAGCCTTTCCTGCTGTAACTGGCAGGTGAGCGAAGATAGTAGCATAAAGCCAAGCTCTTCCCAGGTGCTTTTGTGCAAAGTTCAGGCTTTGATGGCAATCAGCACCATCCCCATCCCCTGGTACTGGTAACGAGTGCCATGAAATTTGTTTCCTTTCCTTGTCTACATGCCATATGCTGGTGTTAACGGCTTGTAGCCCCGCTGCCGGCAACAGGAATATGAGACATAGCAATATGAAATACTAAAATTTGGAAGGGCTCACATAGTTTCTTTGGAGGGAGGGAGGGAGGGGATGTTAATCCTTTGGAGTCCTCAGAGCGGGTTTTCCCCTTTGGGCGCCCTTCCCTTCCTCTGGTTGCAGATGTGCTTGTTCAGGAAGCACTGGTTTTCACTAGCTCTGCAGATACTGCTCTGATGAGCAAATTCGAATCCATTTCCTCTTCCTAGCAGTACCCTCGTTATCTGCAAACCAGACATTTGCAGATAATGTCTAAAAATTTGCTCATTAGCTCTTCCCAGAGGAGAATCACAGAATCGCACAGAATAGTTGAGGTTGGAAGGGACCTCTGGAGATCATCTAGTCCAACCCCCCTGCTCAAGCAGGGTCACCTAGAGCACATTGCCCAGGATTGTGCCCAGGCGGGTTTTGAATATCTCCAGCAAAGGAGACTCCGCAACCTCTCTGGGCAACCTCTTCCAGTGCTCTGTCACCCTCACAGGAAAGACGTTTTTCCTCATGTTCAGAAGGAACTTCCTGTATTTCAGTTTGTGCCCGTTGCCTCTTGTGCTGTCGCTGGGCACCACCGAGAAGAGTCCGGCCCCAGCCTCTTGACACCCTCCCTTCAGATACTGGTACACATTGATCAGATTCTTCCTCAGTCTTCTCCAAGCTGAAGAGTCCCAGCTCTCTCAGCCTTTCCTCATATGAGATGCTCCAGTCCCTTAATCATCTTAGTAGCCCTAAGAAGAACTCTGTTCATGTTATAAAACAGAGAGTGCTGTCATCATTGTGTTGAGACGTCAAAGCTCTTGTGAATGTGCAGAAATCACTCCTAGCAGCTCCTGGCAGAGGCAACGCCAGCAAAGAGAACCTGAAACCATCTATCTTAATTAGATTACATAGTGTATCTCCTATTCAAATGTAATGAATTTCACTGCTTCAGAGCTGTAAGCCAGAAGTGTACAACGCAGCAGCCAGTCCAAAAAATGTAAGGATGATCTATTGGCCGTCCTGTGTTGCTCTTCCCAGAGTCAGAGAGGAGGCGGCATTTTGTAGCAGTCACATAATTGAACACCTTATTGTGTGAAAATGAATAACGGCTCGTGTCCTAGGGCTGGGGTGTTTCATCCAGATGCGTTGTGCAAGTGGGACAGACCAGCTGTGCTTGCTGCACCATGCAAATGCTATTGCATTTGTTTCCCGAGGCCTGCAGGAGCTGGTCTCCCACATTTACAGCCCGGGACGAGCCATTTTGCTGGTGGGGGACTGTGGAGGCAGTTTTCTTCCACCCAGGCTCTCGTCCGCCCTCTGCACCTGGGAGACCCCATTGCAGCTGGGATCACCAGCCGAAGGGTTCCCCAGTGCTGTCTCTGTTTTCTGCTGACCATTTTCACTGCTTTCTGGCTTGGCTTCCTCTTCTGGCACAAGGTTGCTGTACTGGGGCGAAGCTGCTTTGAAGCAAGGGAGGTTTTAGCTGCCAGTCCAGCTCTGGTCCCTAGGATCACTGCCCAGCTCCTGGGATTGAACAGAAATGAATCAAACTTCTTGTCTTGGCCTGGAGCTAGAACTGCTTTGTTGGAAGGAATAGCCCTAAAAAGCTTTTAATGCTGGTTATCAACAGTAACTGAGCTAGGCTGCAAGTACTCTTTGTCTGCGAACATGCATTTTAACATAAGCCCTATTAAAAACAACGCATCTTTTCCCTTGGGTTGCAAGAAGCCGTTGCGCACTGCATGGGCATCTCGGAGCAAGAGATGCCCTGCTCATGGGCACCTCTGAGCAGGGAGGGCCTGGCCGCACTGGAGCGGGGGGTGAGCACTGCTGCCTCACTGACTCTGTGGAGCGGAGGCACTCGGGTCCCTGTGGCCGAGACTGGAAAGGCACCTGCTCACACGGATTGAAATCTCTCCTTAGCAACCCTGGACCAATTAGATGCTCTCAAAAAGGCATGTTTTCTTACCTCTGAACATCCATTTCCCTCCCAGCAAAGCAAGGATAGCATTAATCCCTATTTCCAATTGCTTAGCTAGTGATCAGTTCCTAGATTGATGAGCACTGCAAAAATAGGCTGAAATAATGCTAAAAATAGACACTGTCCTCTGCAAAGTGGAGCTCCGCTCTAGCATAGCTGTTAACCTACCTGATTTCGGTACAGTTAATAGCAAGCAGCTGGGTCGCACTCGGCTGAGACTTTATAAATAGAAATCAGGAGTTTGTGACTTTGAACGTAAGCAAAACACGTTGTTAGAACAACTTTCCCTCCTGAAGCAGCCTTGGCGTCTGCCGCAGGCGACTGCGTTAACGCGACGTCGGTTCTCCGGAGCAGGCCCTCTTGGGGCTGTGCTCCCGCTGCCAGCTCCCCAGGTCCTCAAACTGCAGTGGCGATTTTCTCATCACACGTGCCTGGGCTGGGTTGTCCCCTGCTGGCCCGTCTCACTGCTGGGCGAAGAGGCCAACTGTGGCTACGGAAGGGGAGCGGGAATGGGGTGACCCCGGCTTTGCTTCCGCCTCGGCCCTTCTGCGTGGCAGGTCACCTTGTGACGGCCCAACACCGTGTCCCAGGGCCAGGTTTGCTGTGAACAGTCATTGGGGGGAAAACGAAGCTTGGAAGGGCTGACGCTTCTGGTTTTCCTTTAAATAAAATGATTTAGGTGTCACACTCGCACTCTTATTCAATCCTACTCTGCAGAGAGCATCAGTTATTTTAACCTGTATTTTTAGTAGCTTGCAGCTCTATTCGCTCTGCAGATTGAACAGCTCGTCAATAATATATTAGGCTTTGAATGACTGAATTTGTTGAACAGCAGGGGAAGAAAATCCATATTGGGACTTGTCACTTACCTCTCCCTAGGGCAGCTTTGCAGACTGTGCAGTTTAACTGCAGTGGAGAAAAGCTGTATGGTTTGAATTAAATACAGCACCATTTAAAAGGCACGTGTTGTACGCTCAGAGTCTGTCCTCGCAGGCTCAGCACCCGCTTTGCAGCCACTTTAATAATATTCACAACAAACTTTCTATCCACATGAGAAAGCAGGCACGGAATCAGGGAAAAGCTCCCTGAAAGGTGATGCTGCCCGGCGGCTAGAGCTTAGGCTGGGAGCCAGACTGCCAAATTTGCAGACATGGCCTAGTAAAGGGGTGCTAGAAAGACACTGGGGTGACCCTGGAGGGTACAAGGTTCATGTTAGTAATGCTCAGCTGCACTTTGGGGCGTTTTTAAAGATTTTAGAGAAAAGATGACAGGTAAAACAACACCACACAGCAGACACCCCCTCTGGCTATGTGGGACCCCTCTTTCCTGGCCAAGCCCTTCCAGCAGGCCCCGCTGCCCGCTGGCACCCAGCCCCGCCGCTCTCTCCTGGTAATTTATCCCCTGCCCGCTTTGACAACGGCCCCAAAGGCAACGTGGCTGTGTGTCCTCCCCCCAGCAAAGCCGAGGGAATTGCACCCGACCTCCCGCTTCCCGCCTCAAAGCCTCGCTGCTCCTCTCTGCCTTTCCCATGCCCCTCCGAAATTTCCTGAGCCAGCCCTCACCTCCTGGCCAGGCAGTCCTGGTGCACTGGCCCTTTTCCCCACCGCGCTTTTTCTTCAGCGTGTCTGCAGTCTCCTTTTCCCTGTGCTCAGAAGAGAAATGTTATACCCAGAGGAGCCAGCCAACGTGGAGAAAAAGGAACTGCAGCCTCGTGCTTAATGTCAGCAGTTTGGCAGCGCACCACCTCTCCTTGTTTTTTGTCAGGGCAAAGATAATTTCTTTAAAACTCTTTAATCAAATTATGCTTTTAAAACATCTTTCCCAAGTCTCCTGTGTTGAAGCTATTATACTTTTATTTACTTGAGCTTGAAGGGCACCCAGAAACACTTCTGAGGGCACCTGAGCCAAACCATTGGCTGCTTGCAAATGGGCCTGAACGTTGGCTGCACTTTGAAAGTTACCTGGCCGGCAACTTAAATGGCCGGCAAAGGGGTGGCAGGAGCTGCAGCGGAGCTAGGTGGCTGGAACTGCCCCAGCTTGGGTGTCTCATCCCACATGGAAATCCTCAAGAGCTGCAGGTGATTCGGGTCTCTGGGAGTCAGGCTCCTGTGGGCAGCTTGGGCATCACAGCAGCCGATGTTGCCA